GCTTTTCTAACAATCTATAAAAGGAGTCTGATGAAAACTTCTTTTCAATCGATGATAGAGCTTTGGCGTCGGCACTCAGTTTAATTATGTTTTGTTTGTTTAAATCTGCTTCTTTCCTACACGGCGAATAGGAGGCTGTGCTGACGATTCCCACTCCTGCTCACATCCAATGCTCTGTCTGTGTTTACAGCTAAGGGATGAAACACAAACTGCAAACTTACCTGATCCTTTAGAACATGTAATTTTCAAACAACCTTCCTAGACAGCTTATCAGCAAATGGTTGTTCTTCGCAAGACTCTACGGTAGAATCATTTCCTAGTGAGTTCGTCCTTTGCATGCAGTTGAATGCGAAGTGTCTTAATTTTTAACTGGTTCTCTAAATTTCGGCATTGCTTTGCATTGGCAAGTTGAATTTGGAACTTTCTTGTCTAAATTTCATGCTTCTGTGGTCATATTTTCTCCCCAGCTATTAAATCTTTTGCTTTTCGGCTAAGTTCGTTGAGCACTCGTTCTCGATTCGTCATACAAACTAGGTCTATTGGGTGCTCGCTCACCTCTTTTCTCTAATCTGTTGACGCTGCAAAATCCGCCGCTGCACCTGGAAACGTATCCGCGCGCGTGCCAAGTTCCGTCCATTGATCCGTACAAAAAGCATTTTATTGTAAAGATGAATGATACGAGCTTTGTTACGTTTTCGAAAAATATTTCCGATTATATAAAACAGTGTAGCGCGTTTGATCACGTAACCAAATATCACCTACAAAACGTGTCTCTTTTAGCTAACTGACAGCAAGGTCCGTAGACCTCTGCCAGATTGGCAGAAGTTAGACCAGTGGTTTCTAACCTGACCACTAGCTATTGAAGATTTCTGTTGACAGTCGGGATGTTCCACAAAACATCAAAACTTTTCGCCAAACGAAGCAACCACTGGGAAGTACCAAAAAATTCTTCAGAGCATTTAGTCAGTTTATAGAGTGTTTTTCATGACATGCCAGTTTTGTTTAAAAAAAGTCAGAAAATGAAAAAACAATATTATCTTCTCATTCATTCTCTGTGAAAGGCGGAGAAACTCAAAATTAACTCCATGGATAACAAGTGCCAACAGAAACCACCAACTAGCAAGACTGCCCCTCATCCGAGGGCTGCTTATAAGCGGCCGATAGCGTTTGACTTCCTAGCATGCGCCAACACCAACTTACCATAGAAATGAATATATGCATCACAGGTAGATTAGCTGCACCAGTAGCAGATTCCAGTCCTCAACTTGCTGCACGATAGAAGCGCTACTTCCCGCTACTCCATGTCCCCTTGCGTGCACAGCATTTCAAAAAGAAAAGTCTGCTTGCCAGATTCAGTTATACTTCTACATTTAGAGATACATTCCAGACGAGTCCAAGAAGTTTGGCTAAAATGATCGGACCTGTAGAAGGAACATGATTAACAGAGGCACCAATATGTATTTTGCGGCGTATGCCCAATCCGGCGGATTCGGTTGAAAAATGCATTTCTCAGTTGACATCGTTATATTACTGTGCCTTTTGTAATCAAAGTTGAGCATTTGCTTGACGAGATCAGCAATAAATCCGCTACCTTGAATCTAGAAGAAGTTTCTTCATGAAGGCCTTCTTTCCATATAAAAAAGTCCTAGGGGTTTTGTTACTCTGAAATTCTGGAATTCATAACATCCGCATGTCGGAAAATTTGTGGTCTCTCATCGCTGAGACTGCCTGTATCGAGCAACAGGACTGATCGCTTTTTTTAATTCGCTTAGAAATAACGGGATGAGAACAGGTCCAGTTTTTTTTTAATAGCATATTTGAGAGGCAAGCGAATCTCGAGATGAAATAGGATGAATCCAGGTCCTATAATCAATTTCCGCTTTCTCAGCTGATCGCTTTTTGTCTTGAAGCTAAACGTGACAAACCTATAAAGTGGATAAAGTTTTTTGTTCGGTAGCTCTGGCACCATAATATTTACACTAACTTCTCAAAGAACAAGTGATTTAGCCATAAGTTTAAGTAAACAAGCAGAGCAAAAGAAACTTTAAAACTGAAAAACTGCCGATCTTCGCTGACCACTTCTTTTGCGGTATATTTGGTTACCTGAAATGCATGGGTGATTTTAAGCTTATACGGTCAGTAAAAGAAGCTTTTACGATTTAACTGAAGTGATGAATCCTTAAAACATCAAGTTTGCTTGATTGTTTCACTGGCATCACTATGCTTTATAATGGCATCACTACGCTCTATGTTTAAAGAAATAATCGTGCGATGAATTAAGCTTAAGAACTGTGACAGCGAAAGTGCTAGAACAGAGGAATCTTGTCTTTTCATGACTTTACAAACAATTAAGACTTTCCGCCAAATGAGTTGTAATCGCACATGAAATTTAAATCCAATAGGCAGGGCTTGCCTTACCGACCGACAAATGATGGGCAAAATGTATGAAAGTAAACGGCCACTTAACCGGCCTCCGAAGTACATGGTCAGTGGATAACCAGTGAAGGAGTGTAGCACAGGATCGAAGGCTTGTCAAGTTGTATACGATTTACGAGAACATCTCAACAACATCGCTAAAATGGGGTTCCCAGTCATACCTACCGGCACGATCTTGAAATTCTCGGTAACGATGAAAAGCAAATTACGTAACTAATTTGAATGCTCGCTACATTTGGTACCAAAGTGGGGCAAGTTATGCGGTAAAAAGCTTGTCATAATGTGGCATTACAAAAGTAATTTGAAAATTAATTATTTGGAAATTTGGTCTGAAAATCAGGGCTTTAAATGGATAATTTTGAAACGCATAACGCTGCTTCAACAGAACCAAAACTAAAAACAATTGCAGAAGTGAATAAAAAAAAAATGAAGTGAGTAAGGGAGTACGTACAGCTTTTATGACCCGATAGAAGATAAAATCAACGAATACGACAAAATTCGCAGTGATAAGTATGAATGTAAACTTTGCAAGCGGCAACCATGAAGCATGAATTTCTGCTCTTGTTGGAGGTCTAAAATTTGGGATTTTTTTTTTCGTCTTTCGAATCTGGCGTCATACAGCACTTAAAGTTTTTATTGCTGTGCGGTTAAATAGCAGTGATCTATTTTGTCAGAATTTGCGTAAGCGTAGGGTTACTTGATTTGCATCACATCTGCATGAAAATTAACTCAGTTTTGCCCACTACTTCTCTTCCCCTAAGTGACTGTTTTTAGACTTCAGTGTTTTATAACGGTAAGCTTGACGTGTTTGTAACCGGCACTTACTCTGCGGCTCAGGCTGTTGATTCAAATGCCCCAGCTTGGAATGCAATTCCCTCTACAAGATGATGATTTTTTAGTGATATACTGATACCAGCATCACTAGCATGATCATGGCCTCATGTCGCTTTTCCATTTGTTTGCAAGCAATGCTAGCAACAGAAAAAAGCTTCATGTAGCTTAGTCAAAAAGCGGTTGTTTTGAATTGTCATTTACACTCAGGTTACAACAAAATGCTTAAAGGTCGATTGCGAGTCCGGCTGAAAACTCACGAGATTGGTTTCATGAGGCCGTTGGACCGTTTTTCAGCTTTGCTGAGCGGCCACAAAAATATTTTCCCTTCTTTTGCACGCTTTTTATCGATCCGCCAAAAATATGGTGTCAGGTATACATTGTTGAAATCGATGTTATTCAGATAGTTTCGTATCATTTTGATGGAGTCGCGGAATATTGTGTAAATCATCAAAACAAATAGGCAGCTAAGGACCTGTTTCAGTGTTGTCAATAAAATCTGCAATTTGGCAAGAAATTTTTACAAAATCCGAATTGTACTACTGATGCGCTCGGCTTCTGTATGAAGATGAGCAGGCGCCAAGAAACCAGCGGTGGTTTGGCGTTCCAAAATCAGAAGCGTTTCCTTCGTTCCAAATTATTCTTTTTTTACCATGCACATTTCAGCTTAATTTAATCCAGTAATTTTGGACTCCCTGCCTTTCGACCGGTTTAACACTTTCATGTCAATTCAGTTAAATTCTGGTTAATTACATGCTGCGTTTCCTGTGCCCTCCTTTGCTACATTTATTAATCATGTCGAATGTGTAATACAGGCGGCTCAGCTGCTAGACTGTGCGTAGTTCCGTTTTGCTATATTCTGTCCAT